CCCATAGCCCTCTGCCAGGCTCTGCGCCCACCCCACCTTCCCCATTCCTCCTTACACCATGCCCTCATGCCCTCCGTGGGCAGCAGACTGACCAGTCCAGGCCATCTCGCCAGGGGACTGCAGCAGAATCCGGGAGGGGGGGATGCGGCAGATACTCCCCCCCCCAAAGACTTGGAAATGGTGTGAGCTGCAAGGAGGAATTCAATTTAATTCGCAATTTAATTCGCAATTTAATGGGTTTATATGCCGCCCAACCCCGGGGGACTCAGGGTGGCTTACAAACACGAATGAAATAAAATAACACAGAGGGGGAGAATACAAACAGTTTAAAAACACAACATACATCCGGTTTAATTGGGGGTTGAATCAGCAACCCCAGGCCTGCCGGAACAGCCAGGTTTTGGTGGCGTTTTGGAAGGCCGCGAGGGTGGGGAGGGTCCGGATCTCTGCTGGTAGCTCGTTCCACAGAGCCGGAGCAGCTACAGAAAAGGCTCTCCCCCGAGTCTGGTCAGCCCCTCTATCCTGGGCAGGAGAGGATGGGCAGTGGCTGGGGGTGGCTGGCCCACCCTAGAGGGTCCCAATGCAGGGCCAGACCCCCCCCCAGGTGCCCCTGGAACGGCCACCCAGCCCCTCTCTCTGCACTTTCTCTGCAGGTCTTTGGCCACGGCAAGGCGAACGGGGAGCCCACCTGGGCCCTCCTGCTCACAGCCTGCATCTGCGAGATTGGCATCCTGATCGCCTCCCTGGACGAGGTGGCCCCCATCCTCTCCATGTACGCAGCCCCCCCCCCAAACTACGTCCCTTCAGGGCCTAGAAGGCTGGCAGGGAAGCTAGAGGAGGCCTGGCTGCCCCCCCCCCTGCAAGCCGGGGGAAGGGGCTCCGTCCTTGCAAGCTGGGCTGGAGCTTCTCTGTCCCCCCAGCACTGAGCCCCCTCCCCCCCCAGGTTCTTCCTGATGTGCTACATGTTTGTCAACCTGGCCTGTGCAGTGCAGACCCTGCTGAGGACCCCCAACTGGCGCCCCCGCTTTCGCTACTACCACTGGTGGGTGCCCTCGTTCTCCTGGGGGGAGGGAGGGGGTTTGGGCCCTGCAGCCCTGGGGAGCCCCATGGGGGGGGGACTCTTGACTCAGCGGGGCCTCCGGGGTCTTGCAGGACCCTCTCCTTCCTGGGCATGAGCCTCTGCCTGGCACTGATGTTCATCTGCTCCTGGTACTATGCCCTGGTGGCCATGCTGATCGCGGGGCTCATCTACAAGTACATCGAGTACCGAGGGTAAGTGACCCACCGCTGCCCCCACCCGGGCCCCGTGGGCTCCCTTCCCAGGCGGGCAGAAGGCTCCTCCTTTGGGGGTTGTGCTGTGGCCGGCTGGGCCTCGGCCCCTTCTCGCCAAGGGGTTGTCTTCCCCCTCCTGAGGGACGCTGGAGGGTGTATGGGGGGGGGTCTCTCAAAACTCAACCCCACCCCCGTTCTTCCAGGGCAGAGAAGGAGTGGGGTGATGGCATCCGGGGCCTCTCGCTCAGCGCAGCCCGATACGCCCTGCTGCGGCTGGAGGAGGGGCCGCCCCACACCAAGAACTGGCGGTGAGTTGGCCATGGGGGGGGGGGCACGGCTGGTGTAGGCCTGGGCGGGGTGGGCCCAGGGGGTGGGCAGCCTCTCTTGCCCTACTGGGGCAGCCTTGGCATCTCAGCGGCAGGCGCCCCCTTTCCCAGGGTGGCCCCTAGAGCCCAGGAAGGTGGACTGGCACACCGTAGAAAGTGCAGTTGTGACTCTGAGGAGCGAAATCAGGGCTCCCTCCTGGCCCCAGGCGAGCTTCCTGTGCGACTGGCACCGTGGCACAGAAGGGCCTGCCGGGATCTGGGCAGAGAAGAGCTGGATCCTCCCTGGATCCCTCGCAGAGGGGAAGAGATGGAGGGGATGGCGGGGGGGGGGCTATTCTACCAACTGGCACAGGATAGAGGGCCGTGGGTGGAGGGGGCCCACCTGACTCGGCTGGCACCAGGGCCGGGCTAAAGGCCTCGGCTTCCCTCTTCCCAGGCCGCAGCTGCTGGTGCTCGTCCGGGTGGACCAGGAGCAGAACGTGGCTCACCCGCAGCTGCTCTCCCTCACCAACCAGCTGAAGGCCGGCAAGGGACTGACCATCGTGGGCTCTGTGCTGGACGGAACCTTCCTGGAAAACCACCTGCAGGTCCAGCGGGCCGAGGAGGTGAGCCCAGCAGAGCCGCCCCTGGGGGGGGAACTTCCTCTGTCCCCACCCTTGACAGAGGCGCCCTGGGCTCCCGGGGAGAAGGGCAAGTGGCGGGTGGTGGTGCCGGGTGCGACTTCCCCCTCTCTGCTCCCCCCGCCCAGTCCATCCAGCGTCTGATGGAGGCCGAGAAGGTCAAGGGCTTCTGCCAGGTGGTGACCTCTTGCAATGTCCGGGATGGCATGTCGCACCTCATCCAGTCCAGCGGCCTTGGAGGGCTGCAGCACAACACGGTGCTGGTCGGCTGGCCCCGCAGCTGGCGCAGCAAGGAGGACCACCAGACCTGGAGGAACTTCATTGGTGAGAGGGGAGGGGGCCCCGTGGGCGAGGGGAGGGACCTCAGCTGGCCTTGGCCAAAAGAGAGGCGTCTCTGGGCTGCCACCTTCGCCCTGCCACCCAGGCCTTTGGGGAAGTTGCCCTCTGCCTCTACCACAGTTCCCCCTGAGAGATGTCTGCTGTTCTTGGGGGGGGGGGTGTTACCTTGAGGATTCCCTCCCTTCCTGGGCATCTTGGCACCTCCTCCCCTCTGCCTCTTTCCCCCAGAGTTGGTGCGAGAGACCACGGCTGGCCACATGGCCCTGCTGGTGGCCAAGAACGTGGCCATGTTCCCGGCCAACACGGAGCGCTTCCCGGAGGGCCACATCGACGTCTGGTGGATCGTGCATGACGGGGGGATGCTGATGCTGCTGCCCTTCCTCCTGCGCCAGCACAAGGTGCCCCCGGAGGGGTCAGGCCTGGCATAGCGGGCACAGCACCTCCCTTTCCCTGGCACCACTGCCCTCCAGGGCCCAAGCAGGGAGGGGGACCTGTCTTGCAGAGGGGACCCGGTGTCATCTTGGAGATGGGGGGAGGGTTGGGGCAATTGGGGGAGGGGGTTCCAGGCGACTGAGCCCGCCAGGGGGGCGTCTCTCCATGCAGGTATGGCGCAAGTGCAGG